TGCCGTCGTTGCAGTCAACCCCGTCCGGCGTGTGGATCTTGATGTGAATGTTACTTTTCAAAATCTGACCTTGACAATGTTCTTGAGCCGGTAGATTCGGCTTGACTCTATGATGGGCAAGTTCAAGAGAAAACCCCACAACTTCTCTGCTTGTAGTCGGCGCAGAGAGGGATGGCACTACCCAGAGAGTAGGAAAGGTGTATTTGTACTCGTGGCGTGGTGATGGCGGACGCCAGTACGGTTTTCACGAGGCTTAAGGGTATCAGGTGCGGTGGAATTCTACCCCTGGCGAGGCTGTCGATGGAGGAGTTCACCCCCTGCAGCAGGTTTGTCATCAGGGCTGTTACCAGCTGAGTCTGAGCACAGTCATTCTGGAAGACCGTAAACAGCTGTTTCATGGAGTGAGTGTTGGAGTGCATGGGGTTCAACGCTGTGAGTGTTGAAAGTTACCACAGTTCCCTTCAGTGTCTTGTCGATGGTCTGCAGGGATGCACTCTGTTGTGAGTGCTCGTGACAGTCATTTTCTCAAGTTGCTTGAGCATGTGTTCAACCACGGTCTCAGCGTGAGTGCGGGAGTCCTTTGTCCATCGGCACCTACCCAGCTGTATTGTGTTGTTACGCTGGGGTAGTGTGTTCTGTAGGCGTTGTAAGGATCAGGTGGCACATTCACTTTCTGAGTGCGGGTCCGGCAGAAAAGGAGTCCTGGTGCCAGACCTGGTGAGATGTCCGAGTGCGGTTGCCCTCTGGTTGGCTGGAGGCACAGCAGCATCCTGGTAAAAGTGAAAGGGAGAGAGAAAGAGAGAAAGGGAGGAAAAATTTCGCCGGTATGCCACTTGCTTCGGTGTCTTGCAAGTGTCTCTGGTGCTGCGGCGTGCAGCGGCATACATTGGCATTACCCCCCTTTTGCACTGTGGCATCACAAGCTGTGGCGCGGTGATGGCATCAGGTGCAGAACGCTGAATGTTGTTTAGTGCACGCAGCATGTGCTTGTCGACGCAGGTTGGCTGAAGGCACCGGTTGTCGGTGGGTGCAGACGGCGGTCGTGGGTGGTTGGAGGGGTAGAGAGGTGGTTGTCTCAAAGTTCATTTGGTTAGTCACAGTCTTTGGTGAGCTGAAAGGTGCAGGGTAGCAAGTTCACATCTCCATTTGGTGCTGAGGCTGTGCCTTTATGGCTGGCTGAGGGAGTTCTTGTGACCTCTGTGACCTGCCAGTTAGGTTCTCTTGACCTGTGTGACTGGAGGGGGAGGGGTTTTTGAACTTGAGCTCAGACATTCAGTTGTTTAGGGTCTATTAAAGGCTCAAAGCGATTTAACAGAACTTGGCCAATCAGAAGTGGGTACGTGATCGGTACACTGGGTGAACGGAAGCTACCTGTTTTGAGCCAAATGTTGTTTTGGCTGTAGGATTGCACGTTCAGCTCACATGTTTGGGACTTGAGAGTTCGTTTTGATGCTCAGCTGTAGCACTGAGTCTTTCAGAGAGTTGGGCTGACATTAGCGTGGTGTTCGAGCTAGTGTCTAGCAGGCCTTCAAGGCTCAAATCAATGTCTCTGGTGGTGGTTAGGTAGAGTTTTCGTGCCACCCCCTTTTTGATTAGGCTTTACAGAAGTCTTGGCGTCTGGGCTGGTGTCGTGACTGATGAGCGGTTAGGCAGGGGCTCTGTGGCATTCTGGCACACTTGTTGTGAGTGATTAATGCGTGGCCCTAAAAGTTCAGAACTACTGCTTAATAGGTTCGTTAAGCATTTAGCATAAAGCTAAGTGTCTCTTGTGTCCTTATCTTAGCTGTGACTGTTAGGCTAAGTTTTGTGTGGTTCCGATGGTATTTCCTGGAAAGGACATAGCCGAGATGAAATAAATGACGTAAGGTGGTTCTTATGACTAAATTATTTCTCTGGACTTAGAGATGGTTCGACGAAGTGAACGATAATAGGGAAAAGGACAGCTTTCTTATTTAAATTCTGCTTATTGTCAATCCTCAGGACTCTAGTAGTGGTGTTGAAGGGTCACAAAACGAGTGCACTGGTTGAAATTAAGCCAAAATAACAAATAAGGGGGTCTGTTTCCTTTCTGGGCCCTATAGGAGATAAAACCACACTCGGACAAGAGAGGCAAACAAAAAAAAATTAAATCATATAGATGACCTAATAGACCAGGGAATAGCTGCTTGCTATTATTATCAAGGTCAAAGGAATGAAATAATTAATGAGGAAAATAAAATAAAAATTAAAGCAAAATGGAATAAAATGATCAAACACAGGAATGATCTGAAGTCGAGAATAATCAGTGGCATTAGTGACTAAACTTTGGATTTGCTTTGATCAACACTTTATAGTGGGTTGTAGCGGTTGCATGTTCAAAACCACATCGTGTGTGTCCCTCCAAAGGTTTAGTCAACATGCAGATGAAAATTCCTATGGTTATACAAATTCTTCTGTAGTTAGTTACGCAGTTTACATGTAGTTAAACTTAAGTTTAATTGACAGGGGATCTGCGAAGTTAGTCTTCAACGGTTAGCAAGGAGTATTCCTAAACCAGTGAAGGTGAACTTTAGCTAATAAGAATTGCAAACACGGAAAGTGGATAATTAGAAACCCTAACTGGTGTTGAGGAAAGTATTCTAGAATACTTTGCCCTGTGGAACACAGGCGGTGATTAAGGGTTCAAGTAAATGATGCTAGCTGCTAACTGTGGAAGTTATTTAGCTTAGCCTATGCTGTACGGGAGCTAGGTTAGGTTAGCTTAGCCTAAGTTAGCTTGATGCTAAGCTAGGTTAGCTTAGCCTAAGTTAGCTTGATGCTAGGCTAGGTTAGCTTAGCCTAAGTTAGCTGGATGCTAGGTTAGATTTAGCTTAGCCACCCAGGCTGGTTTGTTTACAAAAGTGACATTACGAGTTAACACTTCCTGTGGCAAGTTGTTGTCATGGGAACCAGAGCATGTCAGAACAATTCAACAGTACTTGAAGAATGTCTGTACATTTTACATGAATCACACACGTTTTAACGGGTTAACAGGAGGCGCCTATACTTTGTTTTTCAAGAACTTGATGTTCCATTTAGTAAACTGCAGATGTGTTTTGGCATTTGCTAATTGTACTAATGGAACTTTGCTCTTTACTTTACATGACTTATTCTATTTGTTTACAAAGTAAGGAAATAGAATTGCTGCAAGTCAACGCTTGTCTAAGCGTATGTAGTTACGTTTCTTCTCGTGCATAAATGCTGATTTTTCAGCACGTGACTTGGTTTGATCGCTTAGTAGCTTTCTGCTTGTAGATGCAGCCAAAATTTAGGTGAATTACATCAATCTAGCAACAAATTTTTTTTTCTTTTTTTTTTTCTGAGGGCCTTTACATCGTAGAAAGGGGAGCATCACCCGGGTCTACATAGATAACACTGTTCTGAGTTTTCTTTGTCAGAAACAGGTTTTAGTCATACCGCGATTTGGATTTCTTTTTAACCAAAGCGGAATGGATATCGGTACAGATTACAAGCTGCTGAGATACCTTTTTCACACAGACTTACGCTTTAATGCTGAAGTTACTGATACCAGTTGAGAATCTAAGGCTCTTTTACTTGAAGTAGAGATGTCAATTCCAGCTATTGTTTTATCGGCATTTAGACAAGCCAGCGATCGAAACACGTATTGCACGTTTTGTTTTAGTTGGATCGCGATGATCAAGTGCACGCCCGTGGGTTAACGGTAGTTTAGAACTCAGGTGATTTTACTACACTCTGGCGTCAAGGTAACGTATACCCTATTTGGAGCTGGTGTTCTATGTAACTCTTCACTGTCACGGAACCTAATGTTTAGCGGTGCCGATTTACTCAACATCTAGAAACCGTTTGTTTCAAAAGAGTCGTGCATAGTCTGTCGGCCGTTGAGGCTTACATGTCCGTCTAAGATTCCTTTAAATCAGTAAAATTCTAATTTTACAGACGCAGAGTCTTGCAACTCTTTGAGCACACTTTCATCTACTTTTAAAAGTTTTATGTCCGATGTTGATCAAGGACCTTTTAGCTGAGTCTTGCACGGTGTTCGTGCAGTGTGTCTTCTGGTTTTGCAGTTCAGGAATTTGGGGTTTTAGGAATTCTTACTGAGGGGACCTTCACGCATCGTTGAGTGGGCATTGCGTGGGGGCAGAAGAACTATGCTGGCTGACGGGTTTTGGAGGGAAAGTTTCTTGAAACTTGTGTCCTCAGTCACAGGTTCGTTGTAAGTTCCACAGCAAACTCGTTCGGAGCCGGTGGTGGTAGCACAGGTTCTTCTAGGTCTGTGCTGCTGGGTGTCTGTGACGTGTGTTCACCGGTTGGAGACTGCAGGTGAAAAATCAATGTCCTTTAGATTGTCAGAGATGTGTGGAAGGCGGGCTTTTTCACCCCCCTTTTCAGCTCTTGTGCGTTGGCTGAAATGTGCGGACCGGTCAGGGGAAACTTGTGGTGTGTGTTTCCCCTTTTCAGGTCATGCTGCAGTCTAACAGAGTGTGGCGACTCTGTGTGATCGGTGCCAAGTTCGTGTTCGAGATCTTGTCTCTGTTGAACGGGCTTGTGGATGGTCGCACGGGCCTCTTTTGGGTTTTTCGCAGGCCGTGCGCTTTCGAGTCTCTTTCAGTTCGGTCTCTGCTCTTTGCAAGAGGCTTCACTTTGTCGGAGTTTCTCGTCGAGTTCCTCTCTGGTTCTTTTCTCTGACTATTCACTTCGGTCTGTGTCGATGAAGGTTAGCCAGGGCGGTTTGAAGTCTTTCCACTTCCTTCTTGTAGCTAGGGGTCGTTGTCATCCTCGGCTTGCATCCTTAGCGTTGCAACTTTGTGCTCCAGGGCGATGCGGCTCCTTTCGTGGAGACGTTCTTGTGTGATGAGCTGGCAAGTGAGGTTGACGTGTCTGACCGGTCTTTGTCGTGGGAGCTTTGGCTTGGTTTGTGCGCCGTCAGCTTGTCCACGTCTGCGATGCTCTTGGCTCGAGGCTCTGAGTCACTAGCGTCCTCGGGCAGGAAGTTAGCCGTCATGGCCGTCAGCCATGTGTCGAGGTTGTCCCAGCGGGTTGTGGGACCGGAACAAACTGGCTTCACTGTGGGCGAGAGGAACACAACACACGCAGAGAGACCAGGGCAATTTCGTTCTACGTTTAACGAGCTATAATACGGGCTATGCCGTGTATGAAAATTTTGGTTAACTGATGCAGACAGTTAAATCATTCGGTGGGACAATTTAGGTAGTTCAGTATGGGCCTGAATAAAATTTAACAGGGCGGTAGCTTAGTGGTCACCTGTTGATGCTAACGGCTTGGTTTGTCAAACTATTATTCAGCGTTCCTTGTTGTCTCAGATAGGCTCTGTCTTCTAGGTGAACTGAAAGGAACAGAGCACAACAGAAAAGAGCAGTGGCAAGATAGCAAAGTTTGAAGTAACATGCAACCATTAAAGATGGAAAGTTCTGTAATGAAATGGCGTCAATAGTACACAGGAAGTGTTACAAGGGAAGAGGAGGCCTAAGCCTGCGGTTTGTGGCTCGGAGAGGAGAAGGGAGCCACACGCTTCAATGACCGGGGGAATTCATAGATTCTGTGGCCAATACTAAGTGGATGGGTTTAATACCTTTTTCTAGTTTGCCTGGGGTGAAATGAGGTCATTCCGCTCGAAGTCAGCATCGTGGTTGGTCCTTCTGTCGCCCCAAACACTTGGCAGCAGTGTCCCGGGCCTTTCGGTGCATCTGTACCTAGGTGCGCCCTTTCAAGCAACTTGACCTGGAACACAACCGGCGGTGCCGAATTGGTAATGTCGTGTTGCGGGCCGCACGAAGGGAAAGATACAGGAAAGTCCGAGACCCGTGCTCAGTCAGTGCTGGTGACGCAGATCAGACGAACCACCCGCCGGACCTCGAGCAGAGCTGACTGTCAAATCGCCACAGCCCGAGAGAGATTTCTACCTACAATCACAAAACAGGATGAAGAACAATTGAACCTCAACGTGAATTAAAGCTCTTTTATCTAAATCAAATTGAGTGTCTCTTTTTTTTTTTTTTTTTGAAAAATCAAAGGCAACGGCTTTACTAAAATTATGGTAAAAACAAAAGGGAATTATGACAATGTTAATTATCAGAATAACCTAGTCTCCCTTCGGAGGAGAGTTTTAGAGCCGCAGGAAGAGCACAGGAGGAAGCAAGCTGCAGTGGCGTGTTTGGGCCACTTCCTCCTAGTGGTCAATCTGGCTGACAGAGACCTTGATTTAAATTGCATTCAAACTGGTTTAACTACAATTCAAATCAAGCATATGCATAGATGTTAAGTAACTTCTAGAAAGTAAGGATACAGTTGTCATAACGTATCGAATCAAAATTACTAAAAATAATTTGAAAAAGGAAATATAGAAATAAAGCCATAAAACCATTCCCGACAGGAACGGAGACTTCCTTCAAATTAATTTGAAATTTGTTTGTTTCAAACCAAATTTGAATAAGTGTAGGAAATTGAAGGTTGGCATTATATTTGATTAGTCATCAGAAACTGCTAATACCTACTTTTGAATTTTAAATTCAAACGTGGTTTGAACTAAATTCAAAATAAATGTACACAGTCAGTAGTGAAATCATGTTATTAAAACTGGAACTTGCACATGCATTGAAAGTTAGAAACACAATTTCAGGAATTCACTGGAACAATCTGAAATGGTGCTGAGAGAAAATTATTTAGGAAAGGATGACCTTGTTACCATTGTCCACACGATGGCGACATCTCGCTCATGGAGGGTAAAGTCAGGACGTGGAGGCCGTCTGATACTGGGAAACTCAAGGGCGCGCCCTAGCGTTTGGCAGTAGCATTGCAACCCGCCTGCTTTCACAAGTGACTGTCTCAGAGGACGTGCAAAGAATTACACGCCTCAATTGCTGCATCAATCCGAAATAGTGCGGAATTTAAATATCGACGGATTTCTTTCCGGTTCTATATTTCACAAAACGGCGTGGCAGGATTTTTCCTACACACACACATAGGGACAACAGGAATTACACGTCTGTCGTTCGGATACAAATACATTTATCAAATAGCATTTTATGATTTACAATGTTTTGGATTTTTTTTCGATGCTATATTTCACACAAGTGTGTGGCAGGATTTCTTCGCTGCACTACACGTAAATTGTGGACAACAGGAATTAGGCATCTGTTTTTCGGATCCAAATAACATTTATCAAATAGCATATATGATGAAAAATGTTTTCAGTGTTGGATTTTTTTTTTTTCGGTGCTATGTTTTACAAGCACATCTAGCAGGATTCGTCGCTGCGTTGTGCGAGAGAAAACAGGAATTCATCATCTGTTTTTCGACTCCCATAACATATGTCAAATAGCATTGATTAAAAATGTTTTCAGTTTTGGATTTTTATCGGTGCTATATTTATTTAACACGTTAGCAGGTTTTCTTCGCTGCGTCGTGCAAAAGGAAACAGGAATTATTCATCTGTTTTCGACTCCAAGCATATATCAAATAGCACTTGTGATAATATGCTTTTCGGTTTTTTACAATTGAGTAGCTAAGTCAATGTTTTAACCAGGAGTTTTTATCGTTAATCTAACGATTATAAAATAAGGCCTTTTTAAGAATAGTGAAAGAGCATCGATTCACTAAATCTTGTCTTCACCCTGACAGAAGAACATCGTTCGGACAGGGGAGTTTAACATTAAAAATGTCGTCGTTCAAAAGAGGTTTCTTCGTCTTTTGTGGGACAAATTTAATACTATGAACTGCAGTTTACTTTTAGTTATTAACAATGGCAAACGGAATGTCAGACATTATTTTGCAGCGGTGAGTTCGCATTGCGTTCGCTCACTCGAGGCGCACGTACAATATTAAATCACAATATAGACATAGATTGAAAACTGATTTTGCTCATAAAACAAGTTTAAAATGTGCTTAGCATTTTCTCCACCATTTGTAAGGATTCAGGGCGGATCTAATCCGTGGGGAATTTGCATAAATTAATTAATAATTGGTAATTAATAATTATTCATACATGTTTGGATTAGATCAATCTTACATTGAATTTACTCTCCCTCTAAGGGAGGATCTATCATTTTACCTGCATGCATACGTGTATCCTTGCATTTTAACTACAAGTTGATTGCATAGATCACGTTTTACAGACAGGTAAAATTTAATTAGCTCAATTGTCAGATTAATATTGGGGGAATCCCACATATCATCTTACTTCATAGGATTTCAGGAAACGCAATTCTCTGGCCAGAAGAACTGGGTTTTCTGCCCTATAAACACATACTCTTTAAAGTATTTTTAATTTATAAAGCCGTAGCTTGATCTATTCATTTCAGAGACCTGGAGTATGAGCAGACACAGTAACATCAATCAAAATGAATATAATGGATTTAATAAAGGCATGACTACTTATGTATTTACTACGGTTACATGGGATATATGTATTTACAAACACATAGACAACAATGAACAATACAATAAGACATCAATGAACGAGAAATGCATAAAGTTTGGACAATGGATAACGTACACGCGTGAGCGAGTAAGAGAGAGAGGAAAGGGGATGGGGAGAGAGAGAACAGAGAAATTGGGAGAATTTCATTGGCAGGAAGACATTCACCTCTCTGATAACAACACGAAACATCATCTTAAAACTTCTTAGAAGCTCTATAAAGAGATATACTTGCGCAAGTTTCTTGGTCTCTCTGTATCGCGGCAATCCTGCGCGGCCTTGTCTGGCCGCGTGCGTGAGAGGATTCCTATGTGTGTGAGGAAGCATCACGTGGGCTGCTTGGCGCGCGTGTTGAACGGAGGTTCACAGTCTTTGGGGTAACATTACCAAAGGGAAATAGTTCGGCTGAGTTCGTTTCACTTCGTAGAACGGAGGAATCACGAGGAGTTAATGTTCCATCTGTGCATGGCTGGCGAAGAAGCGCGTGCTTCGCTCGGTCCGGCGCGTCACGCGGTCACGTGCGCGTGTTTCTCCTTCAAAGCGAGCGCGCGCTCGTTTAAAGGTCCCTTGTAGATGGATTTTGCTGAAGAGATATGTCACGGGGTTTTCTTTTCAATCGTCGATTGGAATTAAACACAGAGACTTATCTACAACTGAAAAACACAAACTAAACTAGAAACAAATAAAAGAAAGGCGAAGAGCTCGCCCGGAGGCGAGACGTTACATCATGACACGAGGACACGGGAGGAAGAGAGCGAGCGAAGGGGAGAAGCGTCATTTATCACTTTCGGAGAAATCCAGCCTCTTCCTGTTGGCTTGGCCAATTAGAGGGTTGGAAGTTTACAGGCGGGACTTTGGGTTTATGGCCCTTTGTCTCCAGAGAGAGACATCTGAAACCCTAATCTCGTCGGTTGTTTAAGAGAAGAATCTTCACAATTCTTATAATACTAATGTGTCACAAAGTTTAGCAAAATGTAATGTCAATTAACAAATGGGGAACGAAGATTGGAGTTTATCGAGACCAAACTTGCCACAAATGGATTTGGTTAAACATTAGTTGGCAAAGTTTGAAACATTATCCAATTAAGAGTTGTCGAGAAACATAGACCAAACCACAGAAAGGCAACTCATGAAATAGGGAACTTAGATACATCGTTCATACAATTCTCAAGTGGATATATAATAGCATATATATATGAATACAGGATTCATTTCTCCTCCTTGGTTAGAATTCAGAGAGAGAGAGAGAGACATACTTCTCTGACATTCCTGGTGCGGTCGTAAATGCTGTTATCTAAGACCCCAGGCTCTGACAGTATGTTAAGTTTTGGTTCTTACTGTCCCCAAAAGCTGGTGCACATAGAATCATAACTTTTACTGTAATTTCTTGTATCTGATTAATTCCGCTGGATCATGAGAATTAAAACAAGACCAAGAACGACGTATAACAATACTGGGAATAGACAGTTAAATGTAAAAATGCATAATGATAAAGTCACAGTTATTCCAATGTGACATGGGCAAATGGACACACATAAAACACATCAAATATATCTGGTTGAATGTCTTTTAAAGAAAAGAAGTTCCTTTGGGACATTACAAAAATGTCATAAAATGTCTTAATGTCTTGTAAGCGGACACCACGCTCTGTCCTGAGTGTGGGTGTCAGCTGTGGGGGAGGTGTGTGTGTGTGTGTGTTTGTGTGTGTTTTTTCAAGTTCCAGGCCTTTTGGGGCTAAAGGCTTTGGGATTTTAGCACGAAGGTATTTAGTTATTCAGATTCACCCTGGCCCAGTCCTTACACTAGAGTGAGATGCGATGACTAACAGGACGATGCCGGAGGCAAAAAGCACACTTGAGTTGATCACCTCCCAATTTACACATCATTCCCTTCACCCATCCCTACCTGAATTCACCCAAAAATCTATATGGTTTAATATGAACTGTTTTCATACAGTATTATACATGTTTGGTATCATTTGAAATGTCTCAGTGCGACTGGTACAAAGGTCTCATTCCCACAGAAGTAAACCAAAAAGGTAATAAGGTGTGGAGCATTTAGAGATATCTTGTTAACTGCTGTGTGTGTGCCCCATGTAAATCAACGTCTGTCCCCAGTAAGTCTGGGACGGTGATTAATGCAAATTCCCACTGTGAACTCGTTTACATTTTGAAAAGAGGTTTCTGCCTTGGTCTGAGTATTTAGGGAGATGCTGAAGAAGGCTTGTGGTGATCTGTACCTCAAATTAGCTCGTGATGCAGAGTGTATGCAGGCATCCGCATCATGTATTTTATAATGTCAGGTTCGCATGTTCTCTCATTATTCCAGAGCATTTGATGTTTTGTATTGATTATTTTTTAACTGATTATGTAATTGGCATGATACATTTACCTGACATAATTAATTGGTACATTTGATTTTATTCCGACTGACTCTGAAATTGTTTTCCCAAGTAGATGAAACGTATTTGTATGTCACTGCAAGTTTTGCGTCAGATTAGTGACGACTAATATTTTGGCGCTAATTCAAGTGTTAATGTTTTGCAAAGACAAGAAGTGAATTTCCGTTTCGGGCAGCAAAAGTGATGCGTGACCAACTTAAATCTGGGTGTGTTTTACCTCTGTTTTAATTTAATGTTACTTTAGATAAGTGTACGTGGGAAACCACGGAATGGCCAATCCAATGCTATTATAAGACAAGTAAAGGTGGTTGACTTATATCTGTAGTAGTGGCCATACCTCTACTGAAATAAACAGTACTTTAATTTCAAGTGTATGCAATCACAGGGGCTATACTAAAGTATCTTTGATTGTGTAAGCGTGAATGCGACCGAAATCAGGTATATAGCAATTACCTCTGTTTAGTGACCGAAGCTGGCGAGATTATGATCGTGAGACCCACGTTAAACAAGGCGTGAGGACCTCTGAGCGACATTGCTTCCTAATATGAATGGGTAAAATATAAGTAAAGAGTTAAATAGAACAATAAAATGTATTGCTAAACTATTATATAAATTGACCAATAACCAATTAGCAATCTAACTTAAATTCGAGGTCATGATAAAATGGATTAAGATATAAAATGGAGTCCGATAAAAGCTTAAATGGACTTAAATTGCTTTGCCACATGGAAAGACAGTAACATGCAGAGACCTTCACCCGTTCTGGAAGAAAACCCCCATTTGGACCGATAAACGGGCTTACACAGTTTTAGATAATTGTAATCTCGAAAGTGATGTTGATGTCTAACATATTAAAGATTTCTGTGCCTTTTGTTTGCCTCCATATTCAGTTGTCAGTTTTTGCAACTAACTTTCAATGCATTTGTACAAAGAACAAAATAAAATTCAAGTTTAAGGATTTATATTGTTTGGGGTTTAACTGATTAATCAGTTGAATGCTTTCATTCCTGTTCTAGACTCTCTAACTGCAGTGTAACAGAAGAAGGTTATAAAGCTCTGGCTTCAGCTCTGAGATCAAACCCTTCACACCTGATAGAGCTGGATCTCACAGGGAATGATCCTGGAGAATCAGGAGTGAAGCAGCTCAATGATTTACTACAGGATCCAGACTGTCAACTGAAGACACTGAGGTGAGACAGGACCAAATATTTAACTAAATTAGTTATATGGAGGCTAAATATTCATAACTAATATATTATTTTAGCTATACAATTAGCTTGACAATTTGTTGCATAAAATTGATCAAGACCAGATGCTGCAGGTACTGTCATGATGATGATAAACGTCAACACAGTTTAGTTGTGATGCGAGCTACAGGTCAAATAGACATTATGGGTCAGTATATGTGCTGCTATTCTGGAGTATACCTTGATCATTGAAATGCACAATTTTATTTTTGTGCACACTTCTCATCAAAATTCTAGATCACCTTTTAGAGAAATAGTTTTCTGAACACAGTTGTTTTCCATCAAGCCCAGATTCACTGCATCTCTCTGTAGCAGGTCTATGAGTCTCCAGATGTTCACAAACATGCAGTTTCTCAAGCCAGTTTTCTTTGTGCTGACGTTTCTCACTTCTCCTGCTTAAAAGCCAGAAAGATCTTAATTTCACACTCTGTATTCATACTGAAAACCATGATCTAGTGAGCTTTTGCCCCTCTGCTCGTGAGACGTTTCTATTCTTATGAGTTTGCTTTAGGACTGAGTGTCTGTCTAGTTTCTTTAAAATGTATATTTATTTGTGTATTTAAATGTTCAAAGAAAAATAAAAAAATGTATTGTATCAATATTTTTTGTAATGCAACAGACATTTATTTGAGAACTGAATTGACTGTTCTGCAGGTTTTTGAGTCCTGCTGCAGAGGAAGCCTGTCAGTATGTGAATAGAGTTGTGGGTGAAAACCCGTTTCTCCAGAGAAAGCTGAATCTGAGTGTACATAAACTAGGAGACACACGAGTGAATCAGATCGCTGCTCTACTGCAGGATAAACACTGCCAACTCAACACACTGACGTGAGTATTGCTCGTTTATTTATAAAATTTCTTTACTTTTAGTTGCAATGTTAGCTGATGATAATATTTCCTCACTTGTTTGAGTCAGAGCAGTTTTTTCCTCAACATCACACAGAGCCACAACAATTTAAAGTAAAAAAATTAAACTGCAAATTAAAAAACTTGATATCAAGCTTTAAATATTTGGTTAAGACAGACATTTGGATCATGGGTCAATAATTATTTCAGTTTCTGTAGAGGCAGAACAATGTTTTTTTGTGACATCAGAATCAGAAATGTTCATAACTGCTTTCAATTCAATGTTTGTATTTCCCAAAATGTAAAATTGTCTAATTTTGGTGCAGCATATACTGTAACTTGTAAAAATTGAACAAGTGCATTTTAAAAGTCTGTTATCAGTTTCTGCCTGTAATAAGATCCACTGAACGCTAGTGATGGGCGCTTTCGAAACACGCTTCATGAAGATACGAAATCTTTCCGAATCTTTTGTTTTGAATCAGTGGTTCGGAGCGTGTATCAAACTGCCAAAGTCACATGATTTCAGGAAACGAGGATTAGTTACGTCATAACTGTTTCAAAACGTTTGGAAATGTCAGTGGTTCACCGCTGGGGGAAGATGATCTCTGTGAACCCATGAATCATGCAGATTTACTGAGATTGAACAAGTGTCTGTGGGTTTAACCTGATCTCTGATCAGTTTTACTCATTTGTAGATGTTTTAATCAGACATTAGTCTTTAGTAATTAAAAGTCATTAGTAATTAAAAGGAATTTTAGTAATTAGTAATTAAAAGGAATAATAGTAGTTAATAGTCTCTTATTGGCCTGTTTAGCTGAGCCATCCAAACAAAACAAACACTGGAAATTGATAAAAGAGCACATATTATACAGACACTTGATATTTAATCATATTAGATTATTAGGAACAAAAAAGGGATCAAAGCCAGACAGAAGACAATGGTAACATGAAGGCAGAGCCGTACGCAGGGTTTTATAAAAACTGAGGCCCCAAAATTGATGTTGCTAGGGGAGTTCGGGGGAAATTTAGATTTTCCTGATCTACACATGTGCAATTTAAGGTGTTTGAAGGACAACAAAATTGGATATCAATAGCTTTAAAAGCATGTCAGTGGGCAGTAGCATACATTATTTGTCAAGCAGAAAACAGATTCTTAAACATGAGAATCAGGTTAAATGTTGCAATGAATGATCCACACAACAAAATTGAAATGCAGAAATGTTATGCTTATTGTTGACAAACACAATCACTTATTCCAAACAGGAATGAGAAATGATTCAATGATTATTTTGCATAGATGTTACATTTCAGTCAAATGCCAATGCAATCCTTCTGTGTCCAGAGGCATATGAGCAATATGTATGAGCATCAAAGATCAGTTTCAGCAACTTGTTTCTTTCCTGAATTAATCAATGTTTTTGGAATAATCAGTTCAATTAATGGTTTAATTGCTCACTCATAAAGACAGTCACTTGTCGCCCCCTACTGGCTTACAGATGCAAGTTGCATGAAGTGGAGAAGAGCGACGAGGAGGAGGAATTCACCAATGAACTTGTAGTTGAGGATCACGGTACTGACTGACAGAACACAGTTTTTTTGGGGTTAAAAATTATCCAAAATACATATTTGAGAAAATACATAACCAGCCAGGGTTCAAAACTCTCTGCTTGCCGTAGCTCGATTCAAAGCAGTAAGCTTGTAATAATGTTTTTAATTCCAGTGGTACTGGTGGATTTCAGCGGGAGATTCGACCATGTCTTTGCGTCATTACGTCACATCTGTACACACACACATCTGTACACACACATCTGTCCAATCTGTCCACACACATCTGTCCACACACATCTGTCCACACACATCTGTCCACACACATCAGTCCACACACACATCTGTCCACACACACATCTGTACACACGTACACACACACATCTGTACACACACATCTGTACACACACACATCTGTCCACACACATCTGTCCACACACACATCTGTCCACACACATACATCTGTACACACACATCTGTACACACACACACACACACACACACACACACATCTGTACACACACACACACATCTACAGGTCCTTCTCAAAAAATTAGCATATTGTGATAAAGTTCATTATTTTCCATAATGTAATGATAAAAATTAAACTTTCATATATTTTAGATTCATTGCACACCAACTGAAATATTTCAGGTCTTTTATTGTTTTAATACTGATGATTTTGGCATACAGCTCATGAAAACCCCAAATTCCTGTCTCAAAAAATTAGCATATCATGAAAAGAGTCTCTAAACGAGCTATTAACCTAATCATCTGAATCAACTAATTAACTCTAAACACTTGCAAAAGATTCCTGAGGCTTTTAAAAACTCCCAGCCGGTTTCATTACTCAAAACCGCAATCATGGGTAAGACTGCCGACCTGACTGCTGTCCAGAAGGCCATCATTGACACCCTCAAGCAAGAGGGTAAGACACAGAAAGAAATTTCTGAACAAATAGGCTGTTCCCAGAGTGCTGTATCAAGGCACCTCAGTGGGAAGTCTGTGGGAAGGAAAAAGTGAGGCAAAAAACGCTGCACAACGAGAAGAGGTGACCGGACCCTGAGGACACATCTGTACACACACATCTGTACACACACATCTGTCCACACACACATCTGTACACACACATCTGTACACACACATCTGTACACATAAAGAAGAGTCTCGGCTAGTCGGCTATATTGCGTGTGAGGATGTTGGAGGTGGAGATTTATAGCCTTTTCTCACAGCACTTGATATAATTAAACTTAGCAATTTGATGGCAGATCCAGAAAGGTTCAAACGACGATCACCAGTGACAACAGATTCACCCGCTGTAAAATGCAAAAGACTTCGCAAATCTGCCTTTACAACAGAGAATAAAGAAGAGAGACGTCAAATAAATAGTTAAAAATGAAAGAGAAGAAACAGTGTCTTCCAGCGCACAGAACTAGTGTGACTGGGTTTTAAAGGAGAAGTGGAGGAGAGCGAGGAGGAGGAGGAATTCACCAATGAACTTGTAGTTGAGGATCACGGCACTGACTGACAGAACTAGTGTGACTGGGTTTTAAAACAGACTATTGGAAACTAAATGCTGCTGTAGCTCTTCAATAAGATGATCATCATAGATGTGAACTATTGTTATTTCTCTGTCTTCAGTCTGAGTAGATGCAGTATTACAGAGAAACAGAGTCTCATCCTGACTTCAGCTCTGAAATCAAACCCATCACACCTGAGAGAGCTGGACCTGAGCGGGAATAATCTAGGAAACACAGGAGTGAAGCACTTATGTGCCGTACTGAAGGATTCACACTGTAAACTGGAGAGATTGAGGTCAGTCACATTCACATACAAGAATCAAAATGCTTTAAATCACTTCAACTGTTTAAACTAGAACACATTAACATTATATTTGTACAAATGTTTTCACCTTAGTATTTTGTGATCTGCTGAAATAAAGATGAAGATCTCTCTTCCTCTGTCTGTTTTATTTGCTGATGAAGATGATGTGACTTTACAGAATAAAGAGTCTCTTATTTTCTTCATTCTCTCTCTCTCTCTCTGCTAATGTAGGTTAAGCTGCTGTGATATGACAGATGAAGGTTGTTCTGATGTGACTTCAGCTCTGAAATCAAACCCGTCACACCTGAGAGAGCTGGACCTGACCGGGAATAAACTAGGAGACTCTGGAGTGAAAAACCTCAGTGATCTACTGATGAACCCACAATTCAAACTGGAGAAACTACAGTTAGTGTCATTATACTGTACAGCAATGACAGTGTGACTGAAGTTTATTTATTTGAAGACAGCAGGGCTTATGTTTCATTGGTTATAGCAGTGCACTTTCTGGGTTTCCCTATTGCTCACATTTATGTGTTTTTTTTTATCTACACTCTGTGTAATTATTCTGTGGCTTAGTAAATATCACAGTAATATTTAACTTTATTAACTTAATAAAATCTCTGAATATCATTTATTTGATTGTTTGAGTTAAACATACAAAAATAATTGATCCAACAGTTCATTTCATCTAAAATTTACAGTTACATATATATTTTTTTTCACTATAAGAATTTATTATTTGACTAACCAATTATTTATTTAAAGCTGCAGTTTTTTTGGTTAAAATTTATCCAAAATACTTATTTGAGAAAATACATAACCAGCCAGTGTTCAAAACTCTCTGCTTGCCGTAGCTCGATTCAAAGCGGTAAGCTTGTAATAATGTTTTTAATTCCAGTGGTACTGGTGGATTTCAGTGGGAGATTCAAGCATGTCTTTCCGTCATTACGTCACATCTGCACACACACACATCTGTACACACACACACACATCTGTACACACACACATCTGTACACACACACACACATCTGTACACACACACATCTGTCCACACACACATCTGTACACACACACATCTGTCCACACACATCTATACACACACATCTTTCCACACACATCTGTACACACACATCTGTACACACACATCTGTCCACACACACATGTCCACACACATCTGTACACACACATCTGTACACACACATCTGTCCACATAAAGAAGAGTCTCGGCTAGTCGGCTATATTGCGTGTGAGGATGTTGGAGGTGGAGATTTATAGCCTTTTCTCACAGCACTTGATATAATTAAACTTAGCAATTTGATGGCGGATCCAGAAAGGTTCAAACGACAATCACCAGTGACAACAGATTCACCCGCTGTAAAATGCAAAAGACTTCGGAGTGGCTACAGAGAGAAAGAGACTTTAACCGGACCCATGCGAAAACAAGGATAATATCGGAAGGACATTACATGTAGTCACGCTAGGGCTGTCGCGGTGAAGGAATTTCCCTTGCGGTAATTTTGAGTGGCTCAATAGCGCGATATGCGGTTTTACCGCCATTTATTTATTTATATTTTTATTTATATTTATTTGTTGCAATATAAATACGTGTTATGATGTGGTCAGCATACACAAAAACAATGTAACCAATGTAACCGAAACGAAACAGCGTCTCTGCGCATTGAAAGACTGTCACTCAGCGCCCAGTTGTTACGCCAACGGACTGTCTTTGAGTGAGTGATTAAACCGTTCATTCAACGAAAATGTTCAAAAAAGCTGATTCCTTAAATGATAGATGTAATGAAACAAGGTGTTAATTATTTTTTTAACTTTGAGCTCCACTTTTCAAGGCTCAGCTGGCCAGCAATGCTTCACTTTTGGGCAAAGCTGAAGCAATGCTTCACTTAATAGAGACCAATGGCATTGATTCAATGCGTGACTCGCTGCTTTCCCCCCACGGCTTCTTCACGCTGTGTAATGCTGACTGCTGACGCCATCATGGTAAATACCTTTACACGTTAAAAGGATGATAGCCTACGTCAAATATGTTGCTTTCCTTGGAAACGGCAACCTTTTCACGAATATACAGGACTTGACTTCAAAGACAGACGCAGATTGCACGCACTCAGTCGATCACATTCTCTGTCTGTTTAGGCTTAAGTCCAAATCTACGAATCCTCTGTACAAATCACCATGATAAACAGTCTTGTTATCATTATTAACTTATTTAACATTCAATACACATGGTACGAACTACGAAGGGTGGCCTTATGAAAAAAGAAAGCGCGGTTCGCGGTTGCTGCGGTTACTTGCATTCCTCTACGGTTGGCCTGTCAGTAGCGCGGTACTGCAATATTGCGGTTATCGCGACAGCCCTAAGTCACGCAATGCTTGCTTACGCTGTTAACATTAACAATTTGAGAACAAAGTATAATTTGCACGGTTTTGCGTGATATGATAACTAGGGGTGTAACGATACACGTATTCGTATTGAACCGTTCGGTACGAGGCTTTCGGTTCGGTTTTCGGTACGCATTTTTTAACCGAACGGTTCGTTGGACCATTTTTCCTGCCGACCAAAATTTCGTTATTTCAAATGTAGGCGCGTCACGTGTGGCAAGCGCGCTCATAATGTAAGAGACGCTGGCGTGACCACAATATTGCCCAACATCAAATGCAAATGTAATGTAAGCGGAACGAAACCACTCGTTATTGTGTGGTTGACGGACCGTTTATCAGTTGGACCAATGTAGCGCGAGCCGATCTTAATCATCGCCACTGTTACTACACAGCGAAATGCAGTAAAGAAAGCATTTGAATTTGCCACTGAAGTAATAACATCGCTGCGAGATCTAGTGAGAAACATTCGCATTTCTCCGTTATTAACGGATCAAACAGCGCTGACGTGGAAACCAGGAAGAAACATTGTGCCATGAATGAACTATCCAGTGTCCACAGATCAGCAACATTCACCATGGGTTTACTGTAGTGACACTCACTGTAACCATGGGAGTTTGGCAGGAATAGTAGGCTATAATGCTTTCAAGTAACATTACGTCGGTTTTATTTTGACATTATGAATACAATTGCTGCTGCCCTCAAATGTTAATCTGAACTAAAATAAACCTTTGTTTATAACTACTACAATATTACATTTAATTTTGTCCAAGGAGCTGTTTTGTTTTATAAGCTCCTAAGAAAAGTCAAGTATAGCTCCATCATTGCTCAAAGTAAAAAAAAATCATACTTTATGATGTTAGTTTTAATAAAAATATAATTAAAAAAATTAAATCAAGGAAATATCTCTCCCATTTCTTTCTTTTTGCTGTATCGTATCGAACCGAACCGTGAATTTTGTGAACCGTTACACCCCTAATGATAACTTATTAGCGATTATTAGATTTAATCAGCGCGATTTACTGCAATGTAAGACCAAAACAAAAGTGGATGTTTCTTACAGGTTCAGACATTTTCCGGTGAAAATTCTTAGGTTGTTCATACTTCCAAAAAGAATAATCTGTGATTGTGACAGTGGTGGACGAAGTACACATTCCATGTACTTGAGTAAAAGTAAAGATACTCAAGGTAAAATATTAAGTAAAAGTAGAAGTGCTGCCTTTAAACATTCACTTGAGTAAAAGTACAAAAGTATTTGCCTTCAAATGTACTTAAGTATCCAAGTACTTTGATTTTTTATGGCTATAATGTCCTATTATAATTTGTCACAAGACTCTTGCTTAACTCAGTCTAAGTGAAGACTAATGTCACTCTTGGCACACCAATCTATTAATGAAATTAATTAGTCTGATATATATATATATATAAAATGTATTTTTTGTGTGTTAAATTTTGGAGGGAAGGGGACTGTTCCCATAAGGTATAAAACATTTACAGTATTTACTGTAGGCCTGTATATTTTTCTCCAGCGCCTATGGTCATAATTATTAACATCTTAATGTTATGATACATTCACATAAACCTGCACAACGCCATTATATATATATGTGTGTGTGTGTATGTGTGTATATATATATATATATATATATATATATATTAGTGCTGTCAAACGATTAAAATATTTAATCGCGATTAACCGCATTAATGTCATAGTTAACTCGCGATTAATCGCACATTTCTAAATGTCTCTTGATTTCTTTTTGTCCCATTATTTTTTCTCATTTTAATGCTCTTATCAACATGGAAAAGTGTATCGGCTTGCTTTGTGCAAATGTTTTTTATTGAAAACAACATTGACAATACTGTGTTCAATTTCACACTTACATTCTCACTTGGAGCAAATAATCTCTCACACAATGTAACACTGTCCATCAATAAAAGGGTGAAAGAAATACTGACGAGGTCCTGATATTGACGAGGGGGCGGAGAATTTGCATCAGCTGTGTGTGTGTGTGTGTGTGCTTGGCCACCATCAAGTGGTATTTCAGACTGGACGTGCTGCGATGATGATAGCTCAGTTCACAACGACAAAACACACAGATCACTTTGGTCTTGTCAATGGAACCATTTGGCAACTTTTTAAAAGTAAACTTTCCATTGAGAATCTTATTGGCATCCATTTCGGCGTCTCGCGCTCGTCATCCACTCAAAACGTAACGTTAACCTACTATTTGGCCGGCTCGCAAGCCCAAACAAGTGTGTGCGGCGTGCCTGTTGTTTTGTATCCGGTCTAGCTAGATCCGCTTGCGCTTTGGTCGACGAAGCAACTAAACGTCCTCGCGCAGCGCAATCCATTGAAATGAATGGGTTTCATAGCGCAGCGCCGCGCATGCCGCGTCCTGTTGCAAAAGCATGTGAAAAAAACGACAAAGTTTGCTAGGCCAAAAAGACCGTTAATCGCGCGATAAAAAAATTAACGCCATTAAAATGGGTTTGCGTTAACGCCGTTAATAACGCGTTTAACTGACAGCCCTGATATATATATATATATATATATATATACATACACACACACACACAGACACATACACACACACATATATATTCACACACACGTGCGCGCACACACACACATACCTATATAGGCTATATATATATATATATATATATATATATATATATACATACATATTCTATATTCTATGTTATGGGAGCAGCCAATTTCCCTCCAAAATTAAACACAAAAACGTGTTAATGCAGTGTTTCTGCTAGGCTACTCCCCAGGAAAAAAAGCTATTATATGCAAGTCATTTTAGTGGCAACGTAAGCAATGTACATTATGCGTCAATACTTACCGATAATTGCTGCAATAATAGCTGCTGCTCTCTGTCCCGCTTAAAATCATTGTCAACGCGATTTGTTTGGAACTATTGAGAGCTACACGAATAACGTGACCGCGCGGCGGCGAGATCACTGTCACAACCATCTATGTTCGCAACTCTCATATTTATCGGCTCTGGTTCGCGCTTAGTAGATACCGCCAAGGCAAGTTAAAAACAAAGCGCGCGCGCTGTACTGTGATTGGTGGCTCGTTTGACCAGTTACGTTTTTATCCACTCATAAATAAAAAGGAACGACTGATTTTGGAAATGTAGTAGAGTAAAAAGTAAGATATTTGACTTTGAAATGTAGTGGAGTTAAAGTAAAAGTCTCCCAAAATTTAAATACTTGAGTAAAGTACAGATACGCAAAAAAGCTACTTAAGTACAGTAACGAATTACATTTACTTCGTTACTGTCCACCACTGCGGGGGCTATACCAAAGTATCTTTGTTTGTGTAAACGTGAATGCGACCCACATCAGGTATATAGCAATTACTTCTGTTTAGTGACCGAAGCTGGGGAGATTGTGATCTAAAAACAACATTAAATTATGAGATTTTCAATCTTCAAACAGGCTTACACTGTTTTAGATAATTGTAATCTCGAAAGTGATGTTGATGTCTAACATATTAAAGATTTCTGTGCCTTTTGTTTGCCTCCATATTCAGTTGTCAGTATTTGCAACTAACTTTCAATGCATTTGTACAAAGAACAAAATAAAATTCAAGTTTAAGGATTTATATTGTTTGGGGTTTAACTGATTAATCAGTTGAATGCTTTCATTCCTGTTCTAGACTCTCTAACTGCAGTGTAACAGAAGAAGGTTATAAAGCTCTGGCTTCAGCTCTGAGATCAAACCCTTCACACCTGATAGAGCTGGATCTCACAGGAAATGATCCTGGACAATCAGGAGTGAAGCAGCTCAATGATTTACTACAGGATCCAGACTGTCAACTGAAGACACTGAGGTGAGACAGGATCAAATATTTAACTAAACTAGTTAATTAGGCTAAATATTCATAACTAATATATTATTTTAGCGATACAATTAGCTTGACAATTTGTTGCATCAAAAATGATCAAGATCAGATCAGATGCTGCAGGTTCTGTCAGGATGGTGATAAACGTCAACACAGTTTAGTTTTTATACGAGCTACGGGGCAAATAGACATTATGGGTCAGTATACAGTTGGTCCTCAATCAGAATAATACTTTTGCCGCCGCTGTTAAATTGGGGGGTGTATTTGCTGCCTTTTACCGCTAAGAAGCGCTACTATCACAGACTTTGAAAAGTGTCAGTTTTTACTCTCTATTGCGTAATCTGCCGCGGCTCGTTGAGAACTGGTAGCAGATCAATTCAAGTGAAACATTTTAGTTAAAGGGGTGATGAACTGAGAAATCAAATTTTCCTTGAGCTTTTGACATCTAAGAGGTCATCAAATTATAAGAATATCCTGTAAGTTTCAGAACTGAAAACGTCCTTGTTAGTCCAATAAAAGCTTTTATTGACACCAGGCTCAGCAAACGACTCGTTTTTATGACGACAAAGAGGATAAAACACCACCCCCGCAGAAGAAGATCAACGCCTACTTCAACACAGCCGGTTTAGCCCCGCCCACCGATTCGCGCATTACACGAAACTCATTATAATATGCAAAACTGTTATCCACTCACAGCAGTGGGCGTTTACTTCCAAGTCTTCAATGCGAGACGCCCATAAAAACCGAGCGTTTTTGAGCTAGGCTCAAAACTAGGGTAGAAAATAGCCTATTACTTATTCATTTGGATGTTTTTGAATGTAAAAACCAAGCGAACGTCATAAGTTGACCTCAGACAACAATATAACACAATTTAAAAAGCCAGTTCATGACCCCTTTAAACGACTTCTTAATCACAATACTGAAATGAAAGTACAAATTTAGAACTAAAACAAATGTAGGCTTCTATTATTGCATCAAATTTAAGCAAAGTAGGTTAAACTTTAGGCTAATATTGTGTGCCCAGTTTTTCTATAGGCTAATCTCAGGTTATGCGTCAATATAATGGGTAGGCTATTATACATTGTTTCAGTTATTAAATCTACTAACAAATTAAAATAACGGTGAAATAAATTAGGCATAAACATAATGATCGTTTAATAATTTAAACATTGTCAGGACTTGCTAACCGATGTTAGTCGGCATCAGTTCTGTTTTAGCATTCTTTATTATTTTAAGAATTAAATAGGCTTATTTTATTTTATAAATGAAAACATTTCAACATAAAACATTGTAATAATTTTTTTTAAATCAATAAGGCTTTGCATGAGCATAAGATGTTAAGCGTTCAGATGATAGCTGTGCGGTCAATGCTTCAACATGTCCCTCGCTGGGCTTCAAGCGCTCTGAGTTCGAAACTCAGCTCTATAAACTGATTTAATTATTTTGTCTCTAGTTTAACTTTTGAAATGTGCATTTATTGATTCAAAACACTTTTCGGAGCTTTGTTATTCATTGTCTGTCATTATTATTAATAGGCGTTTAGATGATAACATTGAAGCTTACATGCTGTTGACCGATGTTGGCCGACAGCGTTAAAGTCCCTGTAAAGGCCATTCTAAAAAAAAATTCTAAACACATTATCAATTTTAGAAGTGTATTGCTAAAACATATTACAAAGACCGTGAACTGTGAAGTACTGAATTGTGGAGTTAGACCGTTAAACAGTTTTTCACCATTGCTGTGTTCCTAAATCTCGGGCTCGATGACGCACTGGAGCCCCTGAGCTCCTGGACACGCCCCTACTTGATGACTCACTGGAGCCCCTGAGCTCCTGGACACGCCCCTACTTGATGACGCACTGGAGCCCCAGTGCCCGGTTGCATAAAGCACCTTAAGTTTTTCCCTTAAGTGTGGGACTTAAGGCGTGATTTCCCCTTAACTAAGGGAATGATTTAAGGGTGTTGCATATAATCCCTTAATAAGTTCTCTTAGGTAAGGGAAACCGTTAAGTGTTTCACGGCAGCGATCCAGGTTTGCCGTTATAAAAATCTATCGTTGCCATAGATACGCTCCTATACACATTAACCTAGGAGCTTTAAAACAACGAATAGCCTAAAGAAATGGATAAGGAAAACAACAAAAGAAAGCCAAACTGGACTGAGGATGAGAAGTGTATTCTTCTAGATGAATATGGGAAAAGAAAAGGAATTTTAAGAAGCAAATTTAATCCCGTCATAACTGCTGGCAAAAAAAATAAACAGTGGGAGGAAATAACCGAGAAAATTAATGCACGGAACTTAGGAGTAAAGAGGACGGTTTCAGAGGTAATTAAAAAATATGAAAACATCTCTGTGGGGGCAAAAAAAGAAATAAGCATTCATAAGAGGGAGTCCAACAAAACTGGTAAGAAAAAAAACGCTCTTAGTTTTTTCTCTATTTTCTTCGCACGCACCGAGAGCTAACGATAACAAAACTGTAGGTGGAGGACCACCGCCAACAGAATTATCAGAGACAACTAAACTGGTCCAAGACATCCTTGGGGCGGACTCACCTGTCCTGGCTGGCATCCCTGGCGGCTTAGAGAGTGAAGTGACTCAACCAGAGGAATGTAACACGGAGTGAGAGAACATTATTGTCTTAAATTAAATAAAATGTATCTCTATGGGGATAAACGATATGAAAATCACGACAGGCGTAATAAAATATTTTTATTTGTATATAAATATAAATTTTGATTGGTATTTCTTTGTTTCACGCGTTAGACCTTTCCAGCAATCAAAGCAACACCGACAGAGCGCCAGCAGTACGCCAAACCAGGCAACAAAGTGAGTTATTTATTAGTTAACAATTATTTTAGTTTTGTTAATTTGACTTAGAACAGCCCCAATATTACTTATTATATTATATTTCATAATTCCTCCAAAACACTTGTGAATTGCAGAAAGACGCAACTACCCTCTCCAGCCTCTACAAGAGAAGAAGTGCTGGAACTGCAGAGAGACGTCCTACAGCTACAAAAAACAAAGCTGCAATTGGAGATCGAAAAAATTAAAAAGGAGAAGGAAAATCAAGACCTTTACAACATAATTCTTAACAACAAACTGTTGCAACTACAAAGTGAAGGGAAACTAACAATAACATCACTTGACGAATAAATATATTATTATAAATACATTTTATGACATATCTGAAAAGTTTTGTATTTATTTATGTAATTACAAGGACAAATATATTAACAAAATTCCAATAATAATAGCAAAATACAATATAGCTAATATATTTATAAAATATTAATACTAAACAACACTAGCCTATAAATTATAATTTATAAATCATTACATTAACTTGCAACTGCTAACCTACTATATACATTGTATCATTAACATTAATAATAATTATTGTAATAGGCTAATAATACATTTTATTAATAATATTACTACTGCTGCTAATATATATATATATATTTAAATATTAGCCTACAACTATTGGTCATACTAGGCCTGCTAATTAAAGAATGCATTTACGATGGCATCTCTGACAACAAATCCAGCCTGTTGGAAATCTTGCTGCAGAAGATTTGCTTCATGAGCCTCTTCTGCTTCATTACCCTCTTCTTCGAGCTCATCTTCCTCTTCGAAGGCAGAATACATCTTGGACATGTTAAAAAGAACAACGCAGGCGACAATAATTTTGCAAGCCCTTGGAGGCTCAACGCGCAGTTCACTGTGGAGACAGTGAAATCTCCGTTTAAGCTGTCCGATCGTCCTCTCAACTATCGACCTTGTGTGAGTCAACGCACTGTTGTATCTTTCCTACAGGACCAAAGAATAACCATAATTATCAACAAGTCAAAATACATTTTAATACACAAAAAAATATCAATAAGTTAGACAACATATGGCCTATGTTTTTACGTTCAGTTTATGTTTTTTTAAAGTTAGTAAAGAGGATTTTTTTTTCAAGTCAGTTTAATATCAAGTTGATATAATTTGTACATCTTAGTTGTCTGTAACATTATTAAATACATGCCTGCGCAGCGTTAAGGCAATTCATGAAGGGCGTCATGAGCCATGGTCGGCAGGGGTAACCACTGTCACCGAGCAGAAGACCACCGTGCATTCCAGCTTCAAAATCTCTCCCGATCTTACTCTCTGTCAAAATCCTAGAGTCATGTGTACTCCCTGGCCACGATGCAACGACATTTATTATTCTGCACAGATGGTCACACACTAACTGCACATTAACAGAATGGTAATTTTTCCTGTTCACATACTGATCTTCGTGCGTGCGGGGCGCTTGAATTCTGACATGTGTGCCGTCAATTACACCACTTATTCGAGGAAACCCCGCTTTCCGAAAAAAAGAGGTTTGAATGACATCAAGTTCAACACCAGATGGAAACGTCACGGTTTGGCTTAAATGACGGCAAAGGGCCCCTGCAACCCGGTGAATAACTCTACTGACGGACGACTTATGAACGTGGAAAACATCTCCCACTACAGACTGGAAACTCCCAGTTGCAAAGAACCGAAGTGCTATAAGTAACTGAAGCACAGAGGGTAGTGAGTGGTTGCGCTGGGTAACATGGCCAAGGTCGCCTTCCAGTTTGTCAGCAATTTCATAGATTCCGCGGCGATTAAATCGATATTCTCGAAGCAGTTTTTCATCGCTAAGATGATCCAAAGGGTTCTCCCTATCCCTAAAAATTCTTCTTGGAACATAATTATCTTCAATTGGTTCCATAAATTCAGCCATGTCGTCTTTTTTTTGTCCGCGTTACTCTTAAGGTAAAGTTTTCCTAACCTTAAACTGTACTTAGGAAAATGACAGTTAAAGGTGCATTGCGCAACTTTTCATGTTAAAAATACCTGTTTTTCTTCCTATACATGCTTAAAGAACTGCCTGATGGGCTGAATGAGCCCTTCTCTGCGCACTGAGATTGCCTCTATAATCCTGTACAGTAAAATATATAAGAGGGATTCGGGCTC